CCCCCTTGGTATGCTTCCCAGATCACTCAACCAATGAAAAACAGGATCCTACTGCCCATACTGGGCTCTAGAAATTCAGCAACATGTCATACATGGCCTCCTCCTTCAAGGAACTGGAAGGTGGGAGGTAGACGTGAATAACCACAATACAAAGTGTAGCCAAGTTTCGTTTTGCAAGAATGACTACAGATGAGCGAATGGGCATTGTAGCCACCAATCCAGCTCTTTCTTCCTCTTGGGGAAGCATTAATGACCCTGAAATGAGAAACCAGAGCTCTTACCAGCCCCCTGCTCACTCCTACTCCTTGTCCCCAGGCAAAACAGGAACCACAAACCCCAGCTTCCTCTCACAGAGAGGCTGTGGCTTTGAGGGGAGACAGAAATGGCTGAGGTGTAAATACAAGACCTGAGTCACTTGAGCTGCAGTTGCCCCATACTGCTTCAGCAGACCCCAATTCTGAGGTCTTTGGCTCCCACTTTTCCCTTTTGGTCTTCCTCCCTTGCCTTCTAGCTGCAAATGCACATCCAAGTCCCTTATGTGATAGATACCTATTTCCCAACCTGTGCTGGAAGCAGCTGTGGGCAGGGCTTGGGGTGGGGATGCGTCAGGAAGAGATAGGGGAAGAGGAAGTGTCTTGGGTCCTGGGGAAGACCGGTTCAGTGGGTGGGGACAATCATTATCAGTTTTCTGGACACACAGAGACAGACAGGATGGATTTCCTCCGGCTACATCTCCCTGGGCTGCATCAGGCCTTGAGAGGGGCACTGGTGAGAGGGGCAAAGAGATGCTGGAGCCTTTCACCCTGCTCTCTGGGGCCTCACCTTCCTTTCTCCCTTTGAGTCTCTCCTCAGACCCAGATTCCTTCCCAGGATCAGGCAGCCTGTTAGCCCAATCTTTGGATTTCAATCCCCCAATTCCCGCAAACGTATCCACAGACCTCTCATCTAGGCCCTTTCCTACTCCTTCTGCAGATCCTGTCCTCCTCCTTCCCCCAGATCCTAGAACCCCTCTTTCTTATCCTGAGTTCCTCTGGCCCAGGGCCCCCAGGGAGAGGGCCGGGCCTCCCCTTAATGCCTTTTGTCTCCCTCCCTCTTTTTTTCTAGGACTCTCTCAATACCTTTGTTTCCTACCTTATAGGAGATGAAGTCCCCACTGTAGAGAGGAAGGAGGCATGTGCAGCTAAGGAACTGAGGGAGGTGGCTGCAGGAAGGCCCCTGGGGAAGGTGGAAGAGGAAGCCCAGGAGGCCCTGGAGGGTCTTGGAGGCAGTCAAAGCACGGAGGATGGAGGGCTGAGACAGCCTGGAGAGACTGGAAGATGCTGGGAGGAAAGCTCAGCTATAGAACAGACCTCAGGTGGGGGAGAAGGCAGCTCCCGTGGGTCTCAAGCTGAGAGGCACGACACTGGGGACTGGGAGGCAGCCAAAGCCATCAGATGCCAGGATTCAGGTATCCCCTTGGAGGCCAGAAAGAAGTCGGAGGCTGGTCAAGATAGGAGGGGCCAAGCTCTGGAGAGCCAGGAGCATGATGAGCAGGAAGTGAAGAGAGAGGAGACACTGAGAACATGGGAACGGGAGGAGGAAGAGGTCAGGGCAACAGAGCCAGGGGTGGCGGGAGGGGTGGAGTCAGAGCGGGCCTGGCACAAGGAGCCTGAGGGGAAGGCCGGTGCCGATGGGCACAAGGTGGCAGGGGGTGGCAAGGAGTCAGAGCAGGTGGTCAGTGAGGCAGCGGCAGAGGAGATCCAGGGCCCTGGGGCCAAAGGGGCTGGCAGGGAAGAAGGGGTGGTGGTGGTCAGGTATGGCCGAAGCCCAAGGGCACTGGGGACGCAGGAGCCGGGGGCAGAATCTGAGGATGGGGAAGCCTCAGGCAGGGAGGAGGCTGACCTCCCAGGAGTCGAGGAGGCAGAATATGGAGCAGTCCCAGAAAAAAGGATCCCAGAGGGTACTGGTAGAGTCTGGGCCCTAGAGGAGACCTCCAAGAGAGACCAGGAGGAGGAGGTGGACGAGAATAGAGAGACTGAAGTGAGCCTGTTCCCTGAACAGACTCAGGTCCTAGGAACCTGGAGAGTGGAAGCGGAAGCCAAAGGCCAGGCAGCAGGGAGGGAGACTGAGGAAGGGCCGAGGTCAGTGGGGGAGGTAAGGGAGGGCTTTGAGGGCCAGGCAGATGGGGCTGAGGAAGAGGCCGAGGGCAGGCAAGGCTCAGAGGTCAAGGCTGGTCAAGCCAGTCTCAAGGAGGTGGTACAAACAGAGGAGGCTGAGGAGCAGAAGAGGGAGAGTCGCTCGGCCGCAGAGGCTGAGCTGCCCCAGGCCAAAGTAGCTAATGAGGCTAAAGGGGATGCTGACTTGGAGGCAACCCCAGAGGCCAGGCCCCAGCAGTTCAATGGGCGGAGGGGGGAGGAAAAGACTCAGACAGGGGATGAAGCATTGGAGGAGGAGCGGGGTGGCCTTGAGCACACGGTCACTGGAGGCCAAGAACCTGAGCTGTTGGGAGGCCCCCAGACCACAACAGAGCAACTTGAAGAAGGGCCGGTGGGTAAAGAAGAGCTCCAGAGCCTTCTAGCCCTGAGCAGAGAGGAGACAGAGAGGAGCCTGCAGGAATATCCCAGGCACGTGGGGCATGTGAAGCCTAACAGCTCTGTGACTGAAGCCTGGGAAAATATAAGAAAGGATGTGGAGAGAGATGATGCCCAGGAGGAAAAAGGAGATGCTGAAGAGGGGGAGGAGGAGGCTACAAGAGGCCAGGCATCGGTGGTGGAGGCTGCAGGAGGCCGAGAGTTGGCACGACCAGCAATCCCAGAAGCAGGTGGGGAGTGGATGGAAGCCTGGCATGGAGCAGAGGAGGCGGAGGCCCCGGGAGCAGAGAACCAGGAGCAGGGCAGAAGGCACGGGGCAGAAGCAGGGACCAGCCAGTTCCTGGGAGAGTTGGACATCAGAGAAACCCAGGAGGAGGAGGTAGAGGCCCCTGGGCCCTTCGGGGAGGACAGACCTTCAGGGAAAGGCTGGAGGCTGGAGGCGGAGGCTTTGAGCCCCCAGAGCAGCGAGAGCCCGGAGGCAGATTCTTTGGCTGTTGAGATGGTGGAGGATAAGGCAGCTTTGGATGGAGGGGCCCTTGGGCCTGGAGAAGAGCCCGAAAGAGAGGCTGGGGATGCCTTTGGGAGAGGCTGGGATTCGGAAGGGAGAGAGGAAGCTCACAGAGGTGAGCTGGTGGAGGCTGCAGAGGGAGAGAAGGGAAGGGGGCAGGAGTTTGGCCTGGAGGGCTCAGCCGAGGAGGAGGTGCCTGGCCAAGGTAGCCAAGCAGAGGCTCCTGAGGCTACCCTGGAAGGTGAGCCAGAGGGAGAGGTGACGGGGCTGGGGGAATCAGCAGGGGCAGAAGGAATCTGTGAGGTGGATGACTTTCCCTCAGGCTCACAGGCGCTGAGGGCAGAGGACCTCCCAGGAGGGCAGGCACTGTGGGAAGGAGAGGCTGGGGCATGGCGAGCAAGGGAGCAGGGGCAGAGTGGTGAGGGGCAGCGTGGGAACCAGCACCCCGAGGAGGGAAAAGCACAAAGGCCCCTTGACGTGGAGGATGCCGGGGTGACCAGAGGCCAAAAGGCAGAGGCCGCGGAGACTGATCCAGACGGCCTGGAGGATATCCAAGGCCTGGAGGATGTCCAAGCCCTGGAGGACCAGTCGACCAATGAGGGCCCTGCGGAGGCTGAGCCGGGACCACGAGGGGAGGCTGACCGGAGCGCTGGACAGGATGCTGATGGCAAGTGGGGTGAGGTGAGCGCTCTGGGTAGGGTCCAGGGCAGGATGGAGCAAAATCCCAAAGCTGTAGCTGGCCCCGTGGTACCCTGTGCCCTCTTCCCTACAGGCCCTGCTCCCGGGGTCCCGCCTGGACGTCTCTGTCTCGAGGAGCCGGGTATTCCTGTCCCGCAGCTCCTCGCAGCGCCGCTCCCGGCCCTCTTTCCGTCGGACCCCGGGCCCTGAGCCGCCCGAGGAGCCTCCCAGCCCCCCTCCTGAGGAGGAGCCATCAGCCCCAGAGCGGAGAATCCAGCCAGAGCAGCCGCCAGAGCCAAGGCCCCCCAGGCCTGAAGGGACTCCACTGCCGGCCAGGAGAAGTCCCTTGGGACAGGGGTGAGCACAGGGTGGGGTGACCCGGTCGGCCTGGGAAGAGGCTAACAGCACCTGGAGGCCAGCTCCCCACGGCCTGTCTTCCATCTGCAGGTTTGGCCTGGCACACCCAGGCATGATGCAGGAACTGCGAGCCCGGCTGGGCCAGCCAAAGCCCCAGTGACGGGATTCGAGGCCCTGGGACCCAGGCGCCGAGCAAGGCTTGCTGGGACGGCTGGGTCGAACCCAGCTCAGCCTGACTTCCTCTGCCGCTTTGGACGTGTCCTTTTCACCGACCCCCGCTACCCACCCCCGCCGGACCTGAGTTGCTGCATGTGTTGTCCGGGAGCAGACAGAACCAGATGCCAGCGAGAACCATGAACTTAAGGAGTCTGCCTCTCCATTGTGGCTGATGGACCCCTGCCCTGCTGGGGTTGCCTCTCTCTGAGGACCTGCCTTGCCTGCCTCATAAATCTGTTTCAGCTGCTTGGAAAACCGAGTGAAGACAGAGACAGTTCTCCCCACGGCCTTCCCTCTCGGACGGCACCCACTCTTTGTTCTCCCTAACCCTGTCCCTGACTAGGCCCTTGGTGCTGTGGAGGAGGAACGCGATCCTCTGAGGTTGAAGCCAGCCTGAAGGAAAGAGTCAGGAGGGGCTGTGGAGCTCCATTTGCAATCAAAGGGAAGCAAGCCAGTTGCCTGGAACTTCCAGAATGGGAGCTGAGTCCGGGAACTCTGTTGGTTACTATGGCAACCACCAGCTGAACAAACCAGAGTGGGAAAATGTGGGCCAGAAACCCCCAAAATGGAGGAGCAGAGAGGAGTCCAGGGTGGCCAAAAGCTGCAGTCTCCGCGCCAGGGCCCCTCGGGGTGTCAGGCACCCCTTCTCTGGAAAGAAACCAAGGCAGAGAGAGGGTGGGAGTGCTTTATTAGACAGCATGGTGGCCTAGTCTGAGGATGACTAGCAGGCCCCCAAAACAATAAATAAACCTTCATTTTTCTAAACAATAAATAAATATCTAAGAAATAAATATCTGATAAAGACTGGAGGGGCCTTAAGTTATTGGGTAGGGTCTGGGATGGGGTCGTGCCTTGTCTAAGGCAAATGAGCTGGAGGCTGTCTGATGCCCCAGACTCCAGTCCTCAAGTCCTAATGGGTTCTGCTAAGAGGTCAGTCCATCAGGGCTGGGAGCTGGGCGTGGGGAACCCCAAGGCCTGGACTGAGTTCCCGCCCCGGGAGAGCAGCAGCAAGTCCCGCACGGTCCGAGACAAGACAAGTTCCAAGGAGTGTAGCAATCGGTAGGTGTAGAGGAACTGGGACCAGGATACCTGGGCAGATATCTGTAAGGGGGCGCCCAGAGCCCCTGGGAGCAGTCCTTTTTCCTCCTCATTCTCATGCTCTTCAGGAAGGTTGAATCCCGCAGCCAGCATCTGCAAGGAGAGGAGCAGGGGGTCAGAGAATGGCCAGCCTGAGACCCCAAGTGAAACCTTGTCTCTTTCTGTGCCCCATGGTGTAGAGTGACATCAGAGACCACAAGGTTCAGATTTCCCTGGACAACCCCTACTTCACATCTTCCATGATGTCATCATTTCATATGAACTGCCTGATTCATTTTTTGGTTCAAAAAAAAATTGGAAGTCACAAGGCAAGATGGTGCTCACAGAGCGGGCTGTCAGTCACCCAGGATTTCCCTGGGGGTTGGGAGTTCTGGAAGGTCCTCTCTTTCCCTCTCTCTCTTTTTTTTCTTTAGGTTTCAGTCCAGGGTTTGAAGGATGTTCCCCGACCAGGGATCGAACCTGGTCCCCAGGAGTGAAAGTCTGGAGTCCTAAGAGGCTTAGTAGGAGTCCTGCTAGTCCACCAGGGAACCAGAAGGTCCTCTCTCAAGGGTCATCTTAGGATCAGAAATGGGCATAAAAGTGATCTGGTTAGTTTTTATGATATCTTCCTTTTCTGTTCTCCTTTTACTAAGGATAAAATTCCTATTTCCCTTTGAAATGTTCAAGAAAATCTGGTGATGTCAGAAGATGAGAGAGAAGGGAACCTAATTGGATGCAGGACGTGCTGATGCCAGGTGCTGTCCTGGCTTCTCTCATTTAAGACCAAGACCCCAAGAAAAGGCAGAGATTCAGGGGGCAGAGCCAGGGCCTCGTGCACCTACACACACACTGTCACACACACACACACAAACACAGAGCATCTCCTTCCAGACACCATATGTCTGGGCAGGGGGAGTGTTTTAAAAGGAAGCCAGTGAAAAATTTAAAAATACAAAAAAAAAAAGGAGCCAGTGAGCCTTAGTTTTGTGTGTTGGTCTCTGGGGGTGGAGGAGGGTGGATGGACACTCTACCTGGAAGCGGAGATGCTGCTGCAAATCTCGGAGATCCAACCTCGTGACCTGCAGTTGCATCCTCTCTGAGCTGGTCCAGAACTCCTGTCTCCCCAGCCCTCCCAACAGGGTACAGAAGGGACGAAGTGTCAGAGAGAGGAAGCAGAGTCGTTCTGGGTCCTGTGGCAGGGGAGGGAAGGCATCAGGAAAGGCCTGCAGGCCAAGGATCCACTTTCAACCCACTTCATCTCTCTCTGGGTCCCATCCCCAACACAACTCCAGCCTCCATTCCATCACCAAATCTATTCTTGGTAGAACTCTTTTTTTGGCCACACCACGCATGAGGGATCTTAGTTCTCCAACGAGGGAGTGAACCTACACCCCCTGCAGTAGAAGCATGGAGTCGTAACCACTGAACCACTAGGGAAGTCCCTTCATGGCTATTCACATCCTTAACCCCATCTCTATCCGTACTTCTTTCTTGTGCTCATCACCATTCCTATCTCCATGGTCTCTGATCTCTATCCTATCTCCTTTCCCAACCTCATTTTCAGTCTTACGCCCAAACTCATCTCTAACCCTAACCGCATCTCCATCCTCCTATCACTCTCTATCCACAACCCCATTCCATTCCTTCTCTACCATCCCATCCCAGCTCCATCTTCTCACTTGTTTTTATTCTGTCTCCAACTTCTTTCCTATCCTTATTCCCATCCTTATCCCAGTGCCGTCCCTCTTCCATGTGTCCAGCCTCACTGTCACCGTGTCTCCATCCCATCTCCAACTGTACCCACCCCCATTCCATTCCCATCTTCACAAGCAATCCTATTTCTCTGCCCCCCACTTCATTTCCACACATCTCCAGCCTCTTCCCCCATTCCTAACCTCTCATCATTCTCTCTCCTCATACCAACTGCATGCCTCCTCCCTACTAATCTCTATCCCCAATCCCATTCTATTCCCATCCCGGCCTCTGTCCTTGCTCAGCTTCATTCTTAACCTTCTTTCTAATGCCATTTCTTTATTCCAGCCTCATCTTTATACTCAGTGACCTACCCAGCCTCATCCAGATGCTCTCCTTCAATTTATCCCCAAATCCATCTTCAATTCAGGGGACTTGATCTCCATGGACCCAGACCAGCCTCATTGCCAATTCGCCTGCCCCACCCTGCCAGCCCCCAACTCACAGAGAGGCCACGCCAGGCCCGGAAGGTCGTGGAAACGTTGGGGAGCTGCTCTCCCAGGGGCAGGAGGTCGAGGTTCACTCCTGGCAGGTGAGATTCAGCCTATGGGACAAGGTCTATAAGTGGGGGCCCAAGGGGATTGGGGATCTTCCCATCCCCAGAGCCAACTGCATTAGGGAAACTCACAAAGTGATGAGCCTGGAACCGAACTGTGGAGAGCAGCTTCCTGGCGAGATGCAGGCTGACCTTGAACTCCCTCTGCAACTCCTGCAGGCTCAGGGGGGGCCTCCCCGGGGGCCTCGGGAATCCCCAGACACCAGCTCGAGCCAGAAGCAAGAAGAGCAGCAAAAGGCTGAGCCCTGGAGAGATGGGGGAGGGGAGTGAACAAGATGAGGGGTGAGCTTGAGGAGAACTTGGGTGAAGGAAGGAAGGGACCGTGCCTTTTCTGAGTCTGTGCTACAGGCACGTGCTATCTGTCATCCCACTGACTCCTCAAAACCACTAATGAGCTATTGAGACACCATATGGCATCTCTTGTGGGCTTCCCAGGTGGCGCAAGTGGAAAGAACCGCCTGCCAATGCAGGAGACATAAGAGACTCATGTTCCATCCCTGGGTCGGGAAGAACCCCTGGAGGAGGGCATGGCAACCCACTCCAGCATTCTTGCCTGGAGAATCCCATGAAGAGAGGAGCCTGGTGGGCTACAGCCCATAGAGTCGCACAGAGTCAGACATAACTGAAGCATCTTGGCACGTATGCACGCACGCCTGCATCCCTGACAATGAAAGGAAAATGCCCTTTCCCCAGGTACACACAGCCTGGCACAGAGTGCCCACTTTTGAAGCACATCTCGGGCTGCATCTTGATCGCCACTAACTCCCTTGACCAAATGCCTTCCTCAGTGCACAAACTGCACAAGGGTGTGAGGAAATCTGGGTGCTATCATTCTCCCTATTTTGCAGATGGGGAAAATGAGGCTCAGGGAGGGTGACTTGCCAGAAGGTGAGCAGACCGGGACTGGCGTCCAGATTGGTCCAAATGCAGAGTCTGAGTGCTTCTCCCAGCGACCTCAGGGGAAGGCCACCACCTCCACCGCAGTGGGCACTGTCTATTCTGCCAATGATTCCCCGGGCTTAGCCAGGCGGCTTGGATGGCCTGAACCAGAACCTCAGGGGAGGGCTGGTGATGCTGAAGGCTCTATCCCAGGGGGTCAGAAGGACAGATGGGTCCAGCCTCCCCCAAGGCAGGTAGATCACTCTGCAGTGTGGGAGAAACAGGGCTCCCAGGAGAGGGAGGAGGGCCTGGAACGGGAGGCAGCAGCCTTGTCTCTCTATTGGGTTCTTCCCTTGAGCAAGCCACCTCTGATCTCTGTGCCTTGGGCTCCCATCTGTAAAATGGAGGATCAGATGGGCTGATCTCTGAAAATGCCTCCTGCCCTGCATTTCCTGGAAAGAAGGAAGAGGGGCAGTGGGGCTGGAGCTCTGGGAAGAGGGCAGTTTCTTCTTCGGGGAGAGGAAATCTAGCAATCCCTAGGCAGTTGCACAACTCTCCTCGAAACCCAAACCAAAACTGCTTACTAAGTCGAAGTTTATTCTTGACTCCCTCTTCTCTCCCTGCTTCTTTCCTATCTGTTCTCTATCTCCAAACCCTGAGCTCTGCCCCTTGAAATGTCCTCTCAATAAAGACTAAGAGGAAATTCTGGGTGCTTCCGCTACCCCCATGGACTTCCAGAGATGGTGGGTCTTGTCTCTAATCTCCAGCATTCAGGTTCCGTGGCTTGGGGGCCACTCTGACACTCTGAAGACTTAAGACAGAGTGAGGTCCTTTCTAGTTCCATATATTGCCCACCCAGAACCGAGCTGTGCCGTTTCCTGCTGACCCCCTGCTTTCTGCTTGGACTCTGGAGCCCCCAGAACTTTCCCTTGGCTTCTCCTTCCCCTCTGCAGCCAATCCTGGGGTTTTGGACCTGGTCTTTGAGGGTTCTGTCCCCATCTTCCAGCCCTTGGTCCCTACCCTGATCCTCCCATCGGCTCCTCTGCCTATAGCTCTGGTTCCAACCTCTGAGTCCTTCAGTCACCCACTGTAGCTTGAACCTCCTTCCAAGCTTCAAACTCCACACCCTTGATCCAGTAAGGCTGCTAACTCCTTGGCCCCAGTCCCCTGCTCCTTCTGTCCTTCCCCTAGCCAGCCCCAGTTCTCACCCAAGCTGACTGAGCAGGGGCTCATTCATCCCAAATAAATGCTTAGTTTATCTGCCTGGCCTTGATCCTGGTCAGACTGCCTGCCCAGTTTTCCCCATTCATGCCAGTCAGGTCTTCCCATCATCAGCCCAGCTCTCACCAAATTTCCTCCCGTCTACTCCTGTCTCCTCATTCATGCCAGCCAACCTGCCTCACCCTCTGCCCAGCCCTAGCCTCTGCCCCAGCCTTTCTCCCCAAGTTATGCCTATCTCATTCCCATCTTTTATCCAGCTGTGTCCTGTATCCTTGTGTGTGTGTGTGTGTGTGTGTGTGTGTGTGTGTGTGTGTGTTACTTGCTCAGCCTCTTTCCTTAGTCTTGGCCACATAGTAGCCTCTCAGCCCTTGGTCCCTATCCACAGTGGTCAAGTTCACCCATCCTCTGCCCAGTCTCAGCCAAGCCCCTACCCCTCTGCCCCCAGCCCTGGCCTCAAACTCACGCCAGCCAAGGTCGCCTGCCGTCTGGCCCATGGCGGGGCCCAGCCTCCTTGGACAGCCATCTCCCGGGCAGGGGGAGTCTTATACTGGGGGCTGCGCCCAGTTTCACTTTCCGTCCTGCTTCTACTTTCGGCTTTGTGTTCACCGAGTCTTCCCTCATCACCACCCCTTGCTAAAATGGGGAAATGTAATTTCCCTTCCCAGAGAGGGTGGGAGGTGCAGTGGGGGTGGCGGGAAGCTGGGGTTTCGGTCAATCTCAGCTCCTGACTCCCTGCTGCACTCTACAGTCCAGCCATCCCCTTACTTCACCACCCTTGGGTGAGCCGCCCCACTCTGCTTGCTGGTAGGTCCCAGGGACTCCAGCCCCCCCCCTCCTGTTTCCCTTCTTTGTTGCCATCATCCCAGTGCCATCACCAGTCCATTGTCCTTCTAAAGACGGATGGCCAGGTAAGGGGATTGCCCATTAGAGGGGACTTGGGGTTTTGAGTCATCCTTATGCTCTGCTGGTTTACCAGATGGCTGAGGAAGGGAGTGCCAGGGAAGTCAGGGCTCAGTGGGTGGCTGGGATGAGGCTGTGTGTGAGGTGGTAGGGTCTCAGTCTGGGCAGGCTCAAGGGTTCAGTCTGTAGTCAGGATCAGGGCAGGATGAGAATAGGTTCATTCAGGGCCAAGCTCAGACTTCAGCCAGGATCACATCTCGGATTAGCACTCAGGACTCAGTCTAGGGCCAGACTCTGAACTTCATCTGGGGTCAATGCCCTGGCTCTGCCCTGGCTCTGTGTTTGGGGTCAGAGCTATCAATGACGTGGGGGCCCTGTGTGGAACCAGTTAGGGTTGGGCTCAGAGCTCAGACCAGACGGGGCACAAACTTCAGTCTGCGGCCGACATCCTGAGCGCTTGGGTGACTCTGGTCAGGGCTCAGGCTTGGGCCGGGTTAAGAGCTCAGTGGATGAGCAGAGTCAGGGCTCAGCCCATGGCCAGGTTGGGTTCTGTGAGGTCAGGATCAGGGCTTGGCCAGGTCCCCGAATTGCTCTGGTGTTTCTGCTCTGTAGACGGCTGTCAGGCCTGGCTACAGATCTCCCTTCCAGCGCTGCCCCGCCCTCAGCCCCACCCTGGATTTCCCATCTTCAAGAAGATGGGGTTTCTTGGTCTTCCCCCAAGCCCACTGCTGCCACTTTCCTTTTAGGACCCATGGGGTTTCCCTGCTGGCCCCCGGCTGTGTTACAGAAACCAAAGGGGCTTCCCCTTCCTATACCCTGCCTCCCCAGCCGTGCCCATGCACAGGGCCACCAGGGACCAACTCCCAGGGAAGTGTCAGCACCTGCCAAGGAACCCTGCAGAAGGCCACTGGAGGAAAAGGAAAAAGAAGGGTGGCTCGCACCTGCTCAGCCAGGACCAGTTTCCTTTGCAGCGCCCCCCAGTGGTGGCAGCCCATTCCCCCACATCCCAGGCAACTGATGCTCCTCCCTGTTGGGTCCCATCCATCCTGAGACTGATGCTGACAAGGCCCTGGCTGGTTTTCCTCACATCCCCGAGCCCTGCCATTGTCCTGGAGGCATGGACACTCTGCCCTCTCCCCAACCACAGCCACTCCTGACTCTTTGCCATCACCCAGAGCCACTTTGCCCTTCAAACCTTGAACCCCATCTTCCACTCTCTGACTACAATCTCCTGACCTTCCCAAACTTCTCAGTGTTCCTTGGGACCTCCCGGCCCTTGCCGCTTCTCAATCTGGCTGTGGTTGACTCCTCCAGCCTCACACCTCTCTCCAGCCCTCTTCTTGCTCCACCAGTTGCTTCTTTGCCTTTGCACAGGCTGGTCTCTCAGCCTAGAATGCCCTCACTGCCTTCTCTGAAGGTCCCTTTCCCCAACCTTTTCTGTACCCAGACCCCTCGGCATGGGCTTTCTTCCCTGAATGGCTCATCCCTTCCTGCCATAAATCTTGTCTCCAGTGGACATCTCACATTTCTTTATCTTGCCCACTCTATTTTCACTCATACCTTTCTAGCCATACTGGCCTCCTCCTGGCTCTTAGAACATCCTGCTTCAGGACCTTTGCACTTGCTGTTCTGCTTCATGTGTGCAAAGCTCACTTTCTCCTTACTACTGTGCTCAAATGTCTCTTTCACAAATAGGATCTTCACTGACTACCCTGATAAAAGGTGAGCCTGCCCCTGGAATTCTCTAGTCCCTTCCCTGTACTACTTTTCTGCATAGTACTTTAGATATCAAATATTTTCAGATATTGAACATTTTCTCTCTCTCTCTCTTTTTTTTTTTTTGCTCTGTCTCCAGGCACTAGAATATGGGTTCCACAAGGATGGGAATTTTTGCCTGTTTTATGCACTGATGCATAACAGTAGTTAACAAGAGCAGGTTCTCAATAAATCATTGAACCAATCTGTCTTCTGCCAACAAGTGTCTAAACCAGGTTTTGCTTATGGCTGGTGAGCTGTAAACTGCCAGGATGAAACAGAAGGCTTGGGATCAGCAAAGCCCTGAGGTCTCACAGCTAGCTTTCTCCCAGTCTGGCCAAGGCTTCAGCCAGGTGCTAAGCGGGTAAAGTGGCACCTGGGCTGCTGGGTACTGGCCCTGGAAGAGATCTTAGCAGATCCTTGGCAAAAAAGCCAGAGGGCCAGTGAAGGCCATGACAGCCTCTGCCCACATCGTTGAAGGATGGGCCTGCGTCTACCCATCTGGGCCTCAGCTTTCACAAGTGGATCTTGGCTGGTGGGCTGAGGCTTGGACTGGGGCCAGAAGGAAATGGAAAGGATGTGGTGAGGGGTAACAACTGCTGGAAAGAGCTCTAGACTCTGGTGTGCAGCTAACCCTCCTGGTGACCTCAGGTGAGTCACTAGCCTGCTCTGGACCTCAGTTTCCTCATTGAAAAGTGATAACAATTTTCAAATGCTGCCACTGTGATTACATAGAGAAATTAAAACCCAGATGATTAAAAAACAGAGAGAGAGAAAGGAACCATCTGCCAATTTTTCTGATTATTTTCCAAGCCCTGTTACAGCTCTGACCATGTGGGGCACTCCATGGGGTTGCAAGGGAATCCTGAGTTCAGGAAGCAGAAGTTAGAAGCCTCAGATGTGACATCAGGACAGAATCAGGGCGGGGAAGTCTTGTTCAAGGTTACAGAGCAGATCAGTGGCAGAATGAAGACTGGAACTCAAGTCCTTCATTTTCATCCTGGGCTGGCCAGGGGAATCCCTGGGCCCCGTGATGTCAGCTTCAAGGTTTGGAACTAACCCCTTGGTGAAACCAAGATGGGCTTTAGTGAAGTCAGGAAGACTGAGGGGGGAGGTGAGGCCAGGTTGGAGCTGGAGTCACACTGCTGTCTCCAAAACACAAGTGATAAGACCCTAAGGTTAGGCACAGTGCCCATCAGCTCTCGCGAGAGGAGAGGTGAATTAAGTCCTACACCCCAGACCTGATCATTGCACTCCTTGTACGCATGTGCCTGGCTCCTCGCCACATGTATGGTTTCCTCTGCAGTGTCTCAGGGGTAAAAGAACTTGCCTGCCGTGCTCACTTCTGAGACGCAGGGGATGTGGGTTCAATCCATGGGTTGGGAAGATCCCCTGGAGGACGAAATGACAACCCATTCCAGTATTCTTAACAGGATAATCCCATAGACAGAGGAGCCTGGTGGGCTACAGTCCTTGGGGTTGCAAAGAGCTGGACCCCACTGGAGTCCCAGCGTCCTGCCCCGTGCTCAAGGCAGCAGTGAGGCAGCTTGGGTGCCACGCCCCCTGCCACACACCTTGGGTGCATCTCTTATGGGACAACCACCCCTGGGGGTGAGGCAGGGGAAGTCTAGCAAGAAAAAAAGGCTTCTCACCCTCAGCCCCTCCTCTTTTTTTCTCCCGTAGGGGGGCACTCTCTAGGTCACGTCAGGTATGTGGGGAGAGCTGAGGGGAAGGGGGTGCAGGGATCACCTTGCCATCCCCAAGACGTTCATCGCTGGACATTCTATGAAAATGACATATGAATACAGGGGCAGGAAGAGTGAGCTTCGCGGAATGTGAGAAGGTGGGAAAGCCAGCTTTGTTGAGTGCCAGGAAGGAAGAGTCTGAAGGCCAGGAGTCAGGGCTGCAGAGAAAAAACACCAGCCTGGGGGTGAAAAGTCCCAACGCAAGTCCCCGCTCCACTCTGCCCAAATATGCTGGTCTTCAGTTTCCCCATTGGGAACATGAGGCCCGCCATCCCAGCCCTGCCCACCTCTCGGCTCAAACGAGAAGGCAAAATTAGGAAGGTAGAGGGTTTCAAGGCTCAGGACTCTAGTTGGGAGTCAGACAGACCTTTTGCAGCTCCAAGAGTTTCCAGGGTGACCTTGGACAAGGCAGGAAACATCCCTGTGCCTGGTTTCTCTACCAAGTGGGGACGCCACTCCTGCCAGCCAGCTGGGACAGCAGTGACGATTATACACATAAATGCCTGGCACTGCCGCTGAGTAGCCGTGTGATCTTAAAGCAAGTTATGTAACCTCTCTGTGCCTAGCTTCATCATCTCTAACGTGAGGAAAGGGGACTTTGCTGGTGGTCCAGTGGTTAAGAATCTGCCCTCCAATGCAGGGGACATGGGTTCGATTCCTGCTCAGGAAACTGAGATCTCACACGTCTCGGGGCGACTAGAGAGGCGTGAATTCCACTGCTACTGAGCCACAAGCTCTAGAGCCTCTGCTCCCTAAGAGAAGCCCGCCCACTGCCGGGAGAAGCCCTTGCACAGCAGCAAGAAAAAGCCACGTGGCAACTAGAAATAGCCCGCGCCACAACAAAGACCCAGCTCGGCCCAAAGGAAAACAAAATGAAGAAAATAATCCAAACTCATAAGACTATTTTAGAGGATTCAATGAGCCATTGTTTGTAAAGTGCTTAGAACGGGGATCGACACGTAGTAAAGCTGTCGGTTTAGCTCTTAGTGGTAGTATGAGGCCTGCTCCACAAACTCCTAGGAAATGCTAGTTGTCATTAATAAATACTCTGGGATGGTTGTTATCAATGGGCAAAAAAAGGCTAAAGGAGGGTTGGAAGAAGAGAGTAAGGAAGAGGGCTTC